TTAGTTTCACTGGACTTTATCTTTGTAATTTGCCTACTAACTTAAAGCCACAAATGAATTCACATGAACTAAATGTTCGGGCACAAAGAATCAAAATTATTTTCGATTGATGCAAAGAATCACTGATTTATTTGCAATACAAACGGTCAAGCAAGACATCCTGCAGATTTAACGCTCATAAATGTAAACTGAATTGTATACCACATGAGTACATTTCAGTTCTTGATAAAGTATAAGAGACAATGTTGAACTAGACCTGAAATCAATTTTGAATCTGATTACACCCCTGTTTCACTATTGTTCATATAAATGCGTCAGTATTTTCTGTAGCAATTTGAGGTTAAAAATCTAGTGACAGTCAACGTTTTCATTGTACAATGCATGGGATATGTGAATGAAACTATTGGTTATATTTTGAGTGTTTGCATTGATTAGATCCAGTGCGGCGACCTGAGCTTGATTGGGGCAGACGCTTCAATATTATTCAAGGTGTTGCTAGAGGGCTTCTTTATCTCCACCATGATTCCTATTTGAAGGTAATACATAGAGATTTGAAGGTCAGTAACATTCTCCTGGATGAGAACATGAACCCAAAAATTTCAGATTTTGGATTGGCACGTATCGTTCAAGGGACACAGAATCTAACAAATACTCAGAAGGTTGTGGGAACACTGTAAGCATCATTCCCTTTCCTATTCTTGGAAGAACATCAAAATTTAATTTTCAATGTTCAGCATATGGCCATAATGCCATTCATATCAATATATTAGTGAATTTATACGGAAGCAGCAGAGATAACATGTAGGAAATCTAGCTGTACCATTCATTTTATTTAGAGCCCTGCAATCTTAACTGAAATATTAGTTGCATGCCATTAGGAGATAAATTTTGTGGCCCTTTTCTTAAGACCAGAAACAAAGAAGAAATATTGTCAGTTAAAATACTACTGAATTGCCTTTGCAGTGGCTATATGTCTCCGGAGTATGCCATGGGCGGGATATTTTCTGAAAAGTCTGATGTCTATAGCTTCGGGGTCTTGATA